GCGGCAGAAAACGAAGATTAAAGCAGTAGAAATAAAAGTGAATTCATTGTTATAAATCCCAGCGTTGTGAGTGGAGTTGTTACGGTCCCGGGCAGGTCGTTACCTGGGCTGAGTGCGGCTGATGTGCTGGTTTCGGCTGTTCGCAGGGGGTGTGTGTAAGGCTGCCGACTGGCGCCGTGCACCTTGTGTCATCTCTTAGGAACCTGCGAAAATGTCTTCAGATTTGTCGCCTTTGGTGAAATCTCCTCTAAAGCAAAATCCTTTTGTCTTCTACAGGAGCTCTGAGCGTTATCTTCCCTTTTAATAGGGAGCCTCCTCTCCTACCATCCCATCCCACGTGCCTTTAGAAGCAGGGGTGAGTTCGCTCAAGTACCGGCGGGATCTTGGCTAGAACCGAGCTGGGGTGGACTAAAGCTGCCAGAGATAAAAGTCCCGTGCTTGTTCCTTACGCGCTGGCTGTCAACTGAAACCGTCCCCGCAGCCGGCGTGGTCCCTGCTCTCAGGAGCGCTGCTAATGAGCAGCCGATTGGGTTACGGTGCCTGGGTAGAGTTTGCCATAGAAACTCAGGCGGTTGCTGCCACTGGGTAACTGATCCAAAAGCTTCGAAGCTGCTGTGATGGTTTTGCCAGCTCTGCCGCTGGCTGGGACTCGGGCACGACAGGTAAGCCCTCTGAGGGGTGCTTGGGCTGCTTTGGCACCGAGAGGAAATTAATTGGCTTGGTTGAGATGTGGTGGCAGGAGATGAGATTGGGTTTCAGGAAGGGGATCTTGTTTTCCCTGCTAAGTTCTTGGCCCTCAATGCACCAAACCGGAACCTGAGAGAGAGAAATGCAGCCAAAATATTGCCAGGGCGCAGCCATCCTAGAGTGCAACCTGAGGCACTTTGCTCCTGATAGAGGATGTTGTGAAAAAGCCAGTTTTTCCTTCCTACTGATACAGCAAAATTTCTGTACTGCTCCAGGTACAGCTGTAGGTTTGTTTGGGACATTGGATGTAACCTGGCCTGTCTGGCAGCATGGAAGGGGGCCCAGGATGGGGGGCTGGCGGCAGCATGGGCTCAAGATGGTTTATTTCTCTGCAGGCAGACAGGCAGGGTTTGTGCGCCACGGTCCCTGTGCATGGTGCAGAGCTACCTGCGCTACCAGCCGGAGCTGCAGTGAGTGCCGCCGAGCAGGGCACCGGCACTGCCGAGGAGCTCCATCTGCTCTTGGTGGCCTTGTAGGCTCTTCTCAAGGACAAAACAGCCAGCAAATACTTTAATAGCAGGTTGAGTCTGAGAGAAATGAAGCTGATTCAATCCGATGCTGTGAAAATGAGTGAAAAGTCATGTCTGATCAAAGTCTAGCAGAAGGTCTTCAAGGAAACCATATTTTCATTAGCGTGGAATCCTATAACTTATTTCTTACAGGGATTAAAATTCACTGTCAGTGTTTTAAAGTACTCAAGTCACTTAAAAATGGTGGGAAAAGAAGCAGTTAATTCACTTGCTGGGAAAAAAAAAAAAGAATATCCACTGCAGTTTTTTTGTCTGCCAGTTTGGGCAGTGAGTAGCGAAGATGCCCTGACATTTTGTAGGAAGTTGTGTGCATTTCTGTGTCAACACGGGAGGGCAGTGCACACTCCCCGCAACGCATGCCCGTGGATCTCAGCTGCTGAGGAGGAGATTTGTGTTTGTGCAGAACCTGCGAGAAAGGAGCCGCGTCCCGTCTCTAGCAGAGCATCACCACCAGCAGAACTGGAGAGGACAGGAGGAGGAGGAGGGGGTCTCCAAGTCCCTTGCGGCAGTGACATGTATGAATATCAAGGGCACGAGCGAGAGGAAGACCCTCCACCACATTGTGCTCACCTTCAGGTTGGGCAGAGCAGGTCCCTGCAGCTCTCCTTTGTAAGGCTTTACCCGATCCCATGTCAAGTCTCCCAGCTTTCCTGGGGAGGTTGTTTCCCACCCAGCCCGACGCTGCCGACAGCTCAGCCTGCGCCGGTGCCAAGGGAAGACCAGATTGCTGTGTGGTCCATGGTGAGATGCAGACGGCCCCTCCCGCTGGTGCCGCAGCAGGATGTGTAATACCCTAAAACCTCTTAGTGTGCTAAGCCCTGGGATCCCTAAGTGCTGAGGAAGCAAAGGAGAAAACCAGAAATAGCAGCTTAACGGGGAGGGGATGCCAGCACGGGGGTCTCTGCTGTGAAACACTCTCAGCTGCTCCCCGCTGCGAGGACCCCTGCTCCCTTGCGCGGAGCAGCCTGGCTGGGGAGAGCTCTCCTGGCGAGCCCTGAAGAAGTCGGTTCAAACCCCCAAATCCCTGCAGCAAACTGTGCATTGTTTGGCAGACATACTCCCAAAATCTCTCATTTCCCACCCAAATTGCCAGCAGCGGGGCCAGCGAGGTCTCAGCACGCCCAGCTGCCATTTGGGAGCAGTGACGGCCTGCTGCGTCTCTGCTGCTTTGCAAAGCGCCATTACGTTGGATTTGCCCTGTGGGTAAGGGATTTCCTTCCACAGGCACTAATCTGTTTTACCTCCTTCCAGCTCCTAATTCCCCTCAGATCTGTGGGCTCAGGTCAGCCAGGACCAGCACAGCAATTAGTCTGTCCGTGCTTTTCTTTGCGATGGAAATAAAGTTAATTAGGAAAGGAAGAGGCAAGAAAGACCTTTCTGCGTGCTCGGCACTGACTCAGAGCGGCTGCAAGGGCGCAGGGCTCGAGTAAGAAGCCCAGGAAGGGGCAGCCACTGCTCTGCCCCAGCACCACAGCACAGTGGCCGTTTCACCCACCCCTGGACCGGCATCACATGCGAGGGCTGTGCCCCCAGCACCCTGGGGGCTGCAGCGAGGACACAGGAGCAGGGGAGATGCCCCTGGGAGCCCAGCGGGTAGGTGGGACACGCTTCCAGGGGCGATGGAGGAGAACTGAGAAAGCTTTGACCCCGTAGCGGGACAAACCTGCCGCTGGTGAGAGCCCACCAGGCTCGCTTGGATGGCTGCAGACTTCTGTAAGTGCTCGAGCTGTAGGGTGTAGCGGTGGAAGGGGGTGATGCAGCTCCCTGCAGCAAGGCGATGGCTGCTGCTCTGCTGGGCTTTGCCGCGGAGCTCAGCCCACAGTGGCAGTGGTGGGGCTGTTTCGGTGCTTACTGGGCTCTTGCTGGAGCCTTCAAAGCTTGTGCTCCCCAGCCCCAGGGATGCCCTGGCATTTGTTTGCCGATGGATTTCATCCCGCTCTTGCCAGACTTGCCCCATGCTTCACCCTCAACACTGCCCCTCCGGTCCTTGGCATCTCTGTACCTGTTAACATGGGCAACAGCTTTGTTTCCTCTTTAAAATAATAACAATAATGATAATCCCTGATTTTTATGTAGTATTTTAATCAGCACTGCTGTACAAAGGAGGACAAGATTATTACACTTATAATGTCAGTGACAGCATATTGCTTGGTCCTTTTTAATATTTCCTTATGAAGGTGGCACTTCTAGCGCCCTCTATAATACAGCCTTGAGTAGCTGTTTGCAACAGCAGAGCAGGCTCAGGTTATTAATACAGATTTCTGCGGTAATGCTGTTTTCCCTGCCCATCCCCACGATTCTGCTCTCAGAGCAAGCTGGTCCATATTATCTGTGCTGAAAACAGACATGAGAAGAGCTCCTTTCATCTCCCTGGCCTATAATAGGGTATTATACAATGTTTTTGATGCTACTGAATTTTGACCAAGATTTCCCAGGTCTCAAAGGAGAAGAAATGTCTTTCAGTCATTCATATCAGAGCCAAGCCGCCCCAAAAGTGGTGAGGTGGAGGTGTGAAGGGATGCCTTTGCTGTGCTGGCAGGAGCATGGACCGGAATGAACTGGGAGGGGAGCAGCCGCTTGGGGGACACACACCAAGAGCTGGCTTTAGGCTGCTGCTGGGCTTGGTGCCTCTGTGCCTGTGTTTGAGACTTTGTGATCCAAAGAGGACAAAACTCAAGGTGCATTCGTGAGGATGTTTTCTTGAGCGATTCTGAGTCCTTGTAGTCTCTGTAAGATAATTTGCCCAGGTAAAATAGTCTGTGGTTCCTTTTTGTAAATGCTTAATATGTGTTAAGTAGCACAGATGGAATAAACATGGGAGTAAAAAGCATCTTAGACAGCTAAGATCAAATGAAGAGAAAATCTGCATGCAAATTATTTTAGCAAGCGTCAGTGGACAATGCAGGCAGTTACACATCAGTGGTGTCGAAAGAGCATCCAAGTGAGCCGCCTAGATCAGCTGGTCTGATTTACCTTGGGCAAAGATGGCTTCTGCAGATGCTTAGGGCTGATGTGCCTGATTTCTCCTTGAGCATCCATGGAGCCGGTCCTAACCCTTCAAATGAACCACAAAGAAGTCCTTTTGAAAATCCTCATCTTTGTATTTCAAGATGCTGTGATCAAGTTAATGCTATACATGGGACACGGAGGGCACAAAGAAATACTCCCAGGAGAGCTGAGAGGATCTGGCAAATTCTAATGAATTTGCAGTAATTTTGCAGTTGCAAACGGCTAAAATATTGAGTATTGAGAAGAGTTAGTTAAAATAAGGCTGTCTTAAGTCATTGGATGATCTGTTCATTAACATGACGTGCCAGGGAAATTAAATAATCATTTTGCTAGACAAATACCAGCAGGTGCCTAAACACACTTCGCTGGGAGAGGGAGGTTAGGTGCCACCGATCGGCGAGACAAGGGCTGTGCGAGGCCACGGTCCGGGTGCAAGGTGTAGCCCTGACCTTTCCAGCCAACTCAGCTTCCTCACTGCTGGTGGCAGTGTCACTGCCAGCAGCCTGATGATAGAAAAATAAAAGCCATTTTTAGGGGATATATAGAGGAAAACTGTCCCTCTTGGCGCATTTCTTCCCCATGTTGGGGGGGACACAGCACAGATTAGAGCCCCCACACCTGATGGGATCCACGTGGCATCAACAGGAGCTAACATTAAGGATGGAAAACACACCACAACTCCTTTTTTTCCCTCCTTCTTTTCCAGTTGCAGCCATGCCAGCAACCAACCAGGGCTGGCCTGAGGCCTTCGGGTTCAAGATAAGCGGGACTGGTCCATGCTACATCCTCTGGGTGCAGGAGGGCAGCAGTGCAGCAGCAGCGGGGCTGCGGCCGGGCGATGAGGTGCTGGAGATTGAGGGGCAGCCCGTCTCCTCCCTGGGCTGTGAGGCGCTGCTCGGGCTGGCCAGGCGCTGCAGCAACGTGCCCCCCAGCATCGGGGTGGTCTCCCGCCTGCAGCACGCCGACATTCCCCCTGGTCCCCAGGGATGCTTTGGCTTCGAGCTGGCGAGCAGCAGCCCCCCACAAGTGGCCAGCATCAGCCCAGATTCGCCTGCTGCTGCCTGTGGGATTGAGCCAGGGGATTACGTGCTGGAAGTCAACGGGATGCCGGTGATGCTGCAGGAGGCGGCAGCCGCCCTGGTGAGGTCCTGCCACGGGCGGTCCCTGCGGCTGGGGCTGCTGCGGCCACAGCGTGGGGCTGGCATGCGGGACCTCGTCCCCAGTGCTGACACCGTGCGCCAAGAGAGGAAGCAGAAAGCGCAGGAATTCAGCAGAAAGGTAAGTCTAGGGCATGGGGCAAGCAGCTGGGGCTGTGGGCACCCCCTGCACCGAGCGGTTTGGAGACCCCCACATTCAGCCTTTGCGGTGCTCTCGGAAGGGGGGATGCTTCTGGTTTGGTCACTGAGCTGGGGTGCAGACTGGGGACTTCAGTGCCCAAGAAAAGGGTCTGATAATCACTGGGAGAATAGATGGATGCTGCAAAGAGCTTGGAGATCCTCTGGGGGATGACCCCAAGTACTTATTCCATTGCACTACAAGAGTGTGTGGAAATGCATGGGGGCAGATCCCTCCCTCCTGGGCGTCTGGATGTCTCTTCAAAGTTTGAGCATGTCATTCCGCAGACATTTTAGCTCCTATTTTACTGCAAAGGGAAAACATCGATGTGATTACATCTTCATTGTGTTCCTGAAGGCTGCCTAGTGGGTAGTTTACCAAACACATCGCCTTGTGCTAATTATAAATTTGATCATGGTTGTTTTTTTAATCTTTCTAATTTCCATTTCAAAGTAACCTTTTAAAATACTGTTATGAAAATAACCAGGCTTGTGTTTTTTTGATCCCGAGCTAATAAAGGAACAAGACATTCATAAAGAGATTCGTGGGTATCAGCTGAATCCCCTCAGTCAGCTTTTACATTAAAGATTCACAAATACGCACTGAGGTTTGGATTCATAAGGTAGAGCATTGCATGTGAAACAGATACCTGCTGATTACAGGAGATTAACAAGAGGATGAAAGGTTGTTCCATGCTGCCTCCATTAAACCATGTAAATGTTTCTTGGATGATCACAGGAGAGCACTTTTGAAGAGAGCAAGCTGGTTGTGATGCCACGAGCGCCCACAGCAGCACCTCTGCCACCTCCCTTCCCTGCCCAGCAAAGCCACCCATGACGGCCCCGGCCAGCCTGGGCAGAAGCAGGTTTGCGGAGCACGTGCGTCGCTGGCTTCTGAGCGCTGGAGCACAGCTCGGCTGGCAAACACCTCTCTACAGGGAGTTAATGGCACAGATGTTTTAAGTGGCTTCATTTTTTAACATGATACAGAAAATAATAAAACCCAGTGGGGTGCTTTACCCCCTCGGTTACCTGGGAGCTTGGCTCTGGTAGGTGCTGCTGGTGCCATGAGCACTCGGGTACTCCTGCCCACCCGCCACAAAGCTGGAAGGTCGGAGGGTGCCGGTGGCTTGCATTTCATGCCTGCACTGCACACAGGTCACTCGCAAGCCTGAAGTAGGGAGGCTTTTCCCACCCTCATTCGTTTGGCAGAGCCCCTGTTTGAATTGCGCTCATCTGGCAGACAGATCGGTGGCAGCATTAGTGGCAGCAGGGCCATGGCTGAAGCGGGGCTGTGCCAGCCGAGCATCCCGGCAGCCTGGGGGCATCACCAGAAAGCACTGGAGGTGCTCACAATCTCCATTCCAGGTCAACATCTCCTCTTGTCCCCTGCGCGCTTGGGGATACACTGGGGACTGCAGCAACATGAGGGGTGGCAGCAGCCCCCCGTTGCCACTCACCAAGCTCTTCAGCCTCAGCCCAGGCAAAAATTTAACAGCGGCACCCTGGGATTCAGCCCACCCCGAACACCACAGTCTTTGTCATTTCTGTGCTGGACCTTGGGACTGAAAAGCATGCAAGTCTGCCCAGGGGATGCAGCTGCCTTGGCTGCCCTAGATTCGGTAACCTTGAAGTGCTGCTGCTGCCAGGAGCCCCCACAGAGCTTGCATGGCGGTTGCGCAAACCCAGCAGCACCCGGAGGGTTGTGCTGGGGGTCGCAGCGCTTGCGATGGCCCTCCCCAGGGAGCTGCCAAGTGGGACAAGCGCCTGGAGGAAATGGCTCTGCCCCTTCCCTGGGCAAGGGCCTCTCCCAGCCAGCTTTGCTGGGCGATGCCTGCCAGCTCCCTCGCAGTGCTGCCACAGGGGTGCACACACATGCGCTGGGGAAGGGCGAGGGGTTCCCCTTCCCTCACTGCTGCCATTTCCCCCTGCGCTCGCAGAGCTGGAGGGAAGCAGTTATGCCTGCTGTCAGCACAAAACCATCACCTCATAGGAAAACCCAACACATGGAGGGACTGCAGGGTGGTCACAAGGAGCCTTCTGCATCCTGCACATATTTGCTGCACCCAGCCAGGCTGCACATAAGGCAGCAACAGCACCCACTGCTCAGCACAACCCCAGGGGAAGGGACAGCCTCCTGGCCTGGGAAGAGGCTACTGAGGAGGATCCCATGCAGGGTAATTGGCTGGATGGTAATGAGCTAATTACTCTGCCTGTCATGGCTGTCACAGGTGGAGAGGACAGGACAGTGGCTGGGAGCTGCTGATGCTTTCCAGGGCTGGTGCTCGTGGTCACGCTCCTTGTCCCCACTTCCCTGCAGCCTCCCGGAGTTAATGGCAGGACAGTGCCACCTGGCAGGATCAGGGTGTGATTAGAGGCTTGAATACCTCCAAAAGCCCATTGTGGTGCCCTCTGCCAGGCTGACTCCAGACTCATCTGCCAGGTTGCAGCCCAAGCAGAGTTTCGGGGTTTGGGGTCACACCGCTGTTCCGGTGCAATGTTTATAACACACAGACCAGTGATACCAGGGACGTGTGTGAGGCCCCGGGGTGCTGTGTGATGGGCCGACGTCTGAAGTTTCTCTTTCCTCCCTGCATGGGTTCCCTCCTCGTTGGCTGACCAGATGCTGCAACCAGACGGACATGTTTTCTGCACCGTCAGTGCCTCTGTATGCACAGTTAACTGCTCTGCTGCTCAATGCCCCTTCCCTCTTCTTTCCCGGTGCCCATGCTGCAGGTGGATGACATCCTCGGTGACCAGCCGGAGGTCAAGGAGAAGGTGTTCACCGTCCTGAAGCAGTACGCCGCAGAGCGGAAGGTGGAGTACTTGGCATATGCCCTCTGCATGGTTCTCACCCAGGAGTCTCACCAGCATCTGATTGACAACATCAGGTACAGAATGCCAGCAACCTCCATGCTGGTCATTTAAACCACGAACATCCATCTGCCCATCGGTGACGAGTGTGCAGGGCTGAGCGGTGCAGGCACAGGTCAGGAGGTTCCTGTGGGGAAGATGCCAACCCCCTTTCCAAGGGGCAGCTGAGCTGAGCTTGGTGGGGTCTCAGCCCGGCATTCCAGCCTGCATGGCTGTCCTGCGCAGGGTGGCACAGGGGGACCTGCACCTGCCCACTAGCTACCACCGCACCAAAAGCTGGCCATCCACATGCAAGGAGCGGTGGTCACCAGCCCCTCAGAGCCACTGCCTCCACCTGCAGCGTGGGACGTGGCTCCTGTTTCTGGCCATTGCTTTGAAGGGAGATGGGATTAGCTGCAGACTGGCTGGTGATTCTCCAAGAGCTTGGCCAGAAAATAAACCAAGCTCAGCAAGGCAAGAGCTGGCGGTGGGTCAGGGGTCAGCCAGCGCTACCAGCAGCTCTGGCAGCAGTGGTGTCTTGGGGGGGGGTGTCTCTGTTGGGGCCATGGGCTGCCTCCAGGCCAGCACTACCCACAGCATCCTGGGGTGGCCGGGGCTGTGGTCACTCATCCCAGGATGCTCTGGCAATGCTCTGCTGGGCTCAGGGTTCCCCGCACCTCTTCAGCCTCCAACAGAGCGGCCGTGCCGTGGGTCTGCTGTTCTTCTTGCAGCGTGGGCCAGCACTGTGGGATGGTGCTGGTGCCGGTGCACGGACACGTGGTGGGGATTACGGCCAGGCTGAGATGACGGCCATTAGGGAATCAGGTCTCCATCTGGCCCCGCTCTGGGCCCAGCTTTCCAATTCCTGCTTTAATCAGTGGAATTGCAAGTTATTACAGTTACCATAACAACGTCCCCGTGCCGGGGTCTCCACTGTGCCTGCTGCAATCCAGTGGCGGGGAGGATGGGTCAGTGGCCCTTGCCACACAGCATCCCCCTGCTCTGCCCTGGCTGTGTGTGGGCCACCTGGGGACCCTCTGGACTCCCCCAACTGAGCGGGGACTGGCATAGACCCCTGCAGAGCTGGGGTGCGGAGGGGGCCGTCACCTCCCTGGCAGATGCCTTGTCCAGGTGCCCACGTCCAGGCTGTCCTGTTCCCCCTGAATGTCCTGGGGGGACCCGACCTGCAAATGGCCGGGGCTGGAGGCAGGGACGGATGGCACTGAGCCCTGCCTGAGTCATCACCCCAAACTAGTCCCAATCAAAAAAACCTCACCACCCACAATTCAGAAAAAAAATCTTTTCTCCAAAAAGATTCATGGAAATGCTTTGAACACCTCGGTGAGCCCTTTTGTCTTCATCCCTGCGGAATTAGACGAGATTTTTTTGTCCCTACAGAGAGTATTTGAATAAAAGTGTCTAAATTTTCCTCTGGACCCAAGCCCCTCTGCAGGGGGCACAGCAGGCTCCCCTCAGGGTGTCCCTGTCCCAGCGGAAGACAGCATGGCCGGACCCGGTGCTGCTGTCCCCGCCGCGCGGTGCAGAACTCGCCCCATGCCCAGCCCTGCGATGCCGTGGGGCAGCGCCTTGTTACAGCCCCCCAGTAATGCCGTCAAACCCGCAGCCGCCCTGTGCCCCCATGCGAAAGGTTAATGCCGGGGCAAGAGGTGCCGTAAATCAGGCAGCTAATCTTGGTTCAATGGAAATGAAATATTTAGCTTAGGGAAAAGATTTACTGTCTAATCTTAATGAAATGAAGTCAAGAAAATAAAAAAAAAAGGTGCTTTGGAGAGCAGGTTTCCCAGCTGCAGGGGTGCTGGGGAGGTGGGGGCAGCTCTGTGTGCGCTGCCATGCATGATATGAGCCACTTATCCTGGGGTCTCCCATCTGATGGGTTTGCTGCCGAGCAAGAGCTTTTAATGCTTTTAATAACTCACTGAAAGGTGGTGAGCAGCTCCCAGGTGCTCTGGATTTAGGGAGTGCTGTGAATTCACGTGGGTGATTTCTGCACAGCTCAAGCTGGTTTGGTCCATCGCTGGCTGAGGAGGGGTCTGTGCCCCGACTGGCACCCTCGGACTGGGGAAGAGCTGTGCAGGGGATTCATGCAAGTAGGGGTCCTGGCTCCGGCGCTGGCTGCAAGGGTGGGGTGCTGGTGTCGCTGTCTCACCGTCCTTGGGGCGCAGGGCAGCCACCCCTAGGCAGCAGTGTGTGTTGGTGCAATTCGGGCAAGCAGAGCCATTCTGAGCTGACCCAGTGAGCATCCTGGGGCTCGTTCTGCGGGACCACCCTGTGGGCATGTGGAGCTGTGCGAGGACAGGCTCGGGACCACACGGGTACCCATTGGCCAGCCCAGGTGTCCCTGCGAGGCTGTGCCTGGCTCCCCTGTTCTCAGAGACTGCTTCCACCCGAGACGCGGGGCGCAGTCCCGCACACCCACACACCACGAGCTCGCCCGTGCCTCCCGCCCTGCAAAGCTTGCTGAGAGGAGCCCTCGGAGGGGCTGGGACAAGGCCCTTCCCTCTGGTGATGGTGGTGCCCATGGGCCAGGGACTGGGGAGGGATGCTGGGTACAATGCTGGGGGTGATGCCAGCAAAGGTCCCCAACACTCACCTCACTGGTAGCCCCAGGCCCCAGCAGGCTGGCCGAGCCCTGCCACGGGGTGCGTGGCGGTGGCCCACTGTGGGTGACCGCGTGGCCCCCACCATGCAGAGCCAGGCGGCCGGTATGTCCCCGTCTGCCGCTGACCCTAGCACTGGCCTGATTGGATCTTCTCTCTGCACCAGCTGTATTTATTTTCGGGCGCTGCTGCTGCCAGCTGTCCTCCCTCCCCTGTCTGTCCCCTCCCCAGGCTCCCCCCGAGGTTTAACGTGCTCCCTGCAAGGTGCTGCGGTGCAGCGTAACCCAAGATACCCCGACTCAGCACACAGATAGACCCGGGGCTGCAGACACCTCTCCTCCTCCCATCTGTCCTCGGGCTGGGCTTTTTCCAGTGTTGGTGTTTTTTTTTTTCTTTTTAGCTCAAATGGATTTCATCCCATTTGCCCAGAATTAAGCTCCTGCAGATTTTAATTTGCTGACATTTTCTTCATCCGTTTGGTTGTGGATAGCAGGGATAACGCACGTGCTGCTCTGGTTCCTCCCTGCTCCCATCCCCTGCCCATATGGCTGGTGTGTAGTAAAGTGCACAATTGTAGTTCTGCTCAAGAATGATGAAATACGGCAGCGAGGGGCAAAGATGAGCTGTCTCGGGTGAGTAAGAACGGACCTTTCCTGGGAGCCGAGGGGGCTGGGAGGGGAATGGGTTTAAAGCAGCTTAATTCTCGAATCTAGCAACCCCTAGCACAGCAAAAATGAGATGTGCTAAAAGTTAATTAACTCTTAGCATCCGTATTGCATCAGAGCTGCTCTCGTCAGGGACTCCGCGGGCATCACAGCTCTGCTGGGGGAGAGGGAAATCTCTTATTTTGTGTTATTCCATCACCTGCAAATGCCAAAGCCCGGGTCTAGTCCCAGTGGAGCCGCAGGGTTTATCTCCTCTGCTCCCTGTGACTGTGCCAAGCGTGTATGCAGGGGCTGTGTGCATCTCGCACCGGTGTGGGGAGGGGAACGGGTTATTTTGGGCAGGTCGGGGTCCCAGGGGCGTGCGCCTCTTGGCACTGCTCTTATTTCTGAGCTGTTTTCAAACCAGGGCAGAGCTGTAATTCCAGCAGAGGAATGGCGCTGGCTCTGCACCCAAGTGGTCTGCAGTGCCGTCGCAGCGGCCGTCGGCTTTTCCTCTGACTCTGGGGGCCAAAGTCACCCTCTCAGCCGAGCGGTACAGGTGGGATCCTCACCTGCGTTGCACAGGGGTTTAGTATTTGCACACCACCGCGTACTGGTTGCTGTCTCCCTTTGCACCGTGCGTTTCCCCTGTGCTGGCAGCAGCACCGGCGGTGCCTGTGCCACCATTGCACCAGCTCCCGGCAGCGGTGTTTAGCTTTGAAACATCTGTTTGCAGTAGAATTGAGAAGCGATGGAAACGCAGATCCTCTCCTCCCCCCTGACCTGTGGTGTTACAAAAGCTGGTGCATAAAACACCGGCATTGATGCGTACGTGGACATCGTCCCATTAACCTGGATTTAAATAGCAGGATGCCTGTATGCTCCGGAGCACATCCAGCCGTATTAATTCATTAGACGATAACTCTCAGGCTGTTCAGACTGCTATATGTTGTCATGGATCCCCTTTAAGTCACGTTGTGCTTCACTCTGCTGCAGGGAGAATAGTTAGGGGTAGTTTGTTACTTCGCTGTTTTGGTTACAGTCCGCTTGCTTCCCAACCAGCCTCTGCTCCTGGGGGAAAACCAAGGCGTGCAGCTGAAGCTGCTGGCCCGCGGTGGCTGGGCCGAGGCGAGCGCCGCTTTGATTGCAGTCACTTTTGATCTCTGACAAAGATAAAATCGCTGCCCATCGGGGGTTCCCTTATTATGGGAGAAATTCTACCGAGCTCATTTTAATAATGCTCCAAACACAATCTATTTGTCTCAGCTTGTATTTCATGGCAATAAAATCACTTGGCATGTTCCCGTATTAAAATACTCCAGCCATCTGTGACTGTCTTTGGATAAGAAATTTCATTTAAGCCATCAGGATTTATATATTATGGATTGTGCTGTTACCCTGCTTGTCCCCCCCCTCCACGTACCCACTCCTCCAAGGTTGGGGGGAGCTTTCTGGTGCTCTCGAGTGCCGATGCGGCTTGCAGCCCCGGTCACTCCCCGAACCTGCGTTGCTCTGGCTGCTGCCTGATGCAGCACTGCAAGCTGCAAGGGGACACTGTCCTCCTGCCCGCGGTCCGGGCAGACCCACTGTGAAACCACACAGGCGGCAGGACGATAATGGAGGAAAAGCAGCTCTTGTTTGCCTCTGTTTTAAAAAATCCCTAATCTGATAGCCGGACATATGGTCAACTGCCCAGGAATGGGAATTAGGGCAGCAGGAAAAAAATGTGCCGGTGGTGAAAACAATTGGGAGCGGAGTTCCTTTTCTACCTGCTGA